ACCAAGCTAGTTAAATAACAGTATCCTAGCTGAGGCTATTCTCCAGCTATGACCTTATGAAAATTTAACCTTGATACATATCCTCTGATCACACGAGGTCATACATCTGCCCTAATTAAATGTGTCACGGTTTCAGTGACAAAACCTAAAGAAAAAAATCTATTTTCAATAGTGATTTTTTTTTTATAATACTCACCACTCTTGAATATGCGACAAGAAAATCCCAGTGGTGAATGATTACCTGTACTAATGTACACCTGAAAGCACTTCCTCATTATAAATGCAAATATCTACATCATTTATGGGAAACCCAGGGGCCAGATTCACGAAAGCACTTACGCAAGCACTTACGAACGTGTACATCTTTCCTCAATCTTTGACGGCTTTGGTTACATTTATTAAACAGTTTACAAGCATGAAAACTTGCCATTCAACTGTTGTTATTGTTATAAACAGCCTCCTGGTGCTTCGGAGCTCATTAACTGTTTAATAATTAGAAACAAAGCCACCAAAGATTGAGAAAAGATGTACAGGTTTGTAAGTGCTTGCGTAACTGTTTCGTGAATCTGGCCCTAGGACATGGTCATGCTAAGGTGAAGACCTGTGAAGTTGATAATGCTGTTACCATGAGTTTATGATGGTACAAGTTTATGATGGTTATGTTTATGATTCAAAGTACAAAGGCTAATTTAGATGAATAAATACACAGGGGCCTTGATGAAGGTTCAAACCTAGGCGCCGAGTGTTCCCAGATGCGCTCTAGTCAACTGTACCACGACACAGTCATAAGAATTGCAACCTGAAGTGCTACTGCCCCCACGAGGATCCCGACGCTTCCGCGCAATTTCCCCCATGCACTGTTCATTTGATATATCATGTTCTTGTGATTTTTGTGCATGCTAATTTCGATATTTGACTTATCGTAAAGTCCATGTCTAACACCAAAAAACCAAAATCCAACATCTGATGGATTTTTATGTAATGTTTGTCTGAGAAATATCTAAAACTGAACCTTTTCTACCAATATGCCAGTGGCAAAAGGCATGCCTTTTCTACCAATAAATGTAAACCTTGGCAGTAATATGTGCTTAAACAGACATCAACACATCCTGCACAGAATAATGACATCAGGTTAGTCAGGATAACACATTTACCACACATTTCACAATAACCTGGTTAGGAAGTCCATGACTTCAGAAGATTACCTTAACTTTCCTTTAAGGATCTTTTCCAGGTGTTTCTGAATGTGAAAAATGTTGGGCACTTCCCATGTGAACTGTATTTTATACAACCAAAAGATGATAACTTTATTCATTGAAATGGCAATCTGATCTACCTGAGAACACTGAACTTCGATGAATTTTTTTGTTTCAAGATATGTGGAAATGATTGCAATAAAATTGTGAAACTTCTGCATTCTTGGAATGTTTTCTGTTAAAGCAAAGTTATCCGTCAAGATGACTGCTTCACCAGTTATTTCCAGAAAAAGACAAGCTAAATTCTAGATCTTATTATTTCTAGTTGAAAGCTTTACATTTAGGCCTCGGACAAGTACTGAAACCAATAAGGTTATTAAACTCTGCATTTTCTCCAGAAAATGCTGCCCCAATTATTTAACATCCAGGTCATCAATTAATGCACTGTGCAGGGTTTTAGTCAAATGAAAGCTGAGGATACTTTTTGTTAAGGACCGGATCCCCTACAATGGTCTAAATAATATTTAGCATTCATGAGTCAGTCTTAAGTCACTTATAGAAAGAGTGAGGCAACGTAAATTCTCAAGTATCTGCCCCACAACACAAGTTGCTGCCATTTGAATTGGATTAAAAAATATAAATAATACCTTTACATTAATGTCAACAGAATGAATAGCAAGATGAAATGTGAGACAACCTTAGTAATTTTTGTGGTATTATTTCTATAGTTAGGAGTAGGATATTTATATAAATTGTGTACATGTCCCAATGGTTGGCTGGAATTAATTACCCAAGTGTAATTACCTAAGTGTAGTTACAGGATGAGAGCTATGCTCGTGGTGTCCCGTCTTCCCAGCACTCTGTCATATAACGCTTTGAAACTACTGACGGTCTTGGCCTCCACCACCTTCTCCCCTAACTTGTTCCAACCGTCTACCACTCTGGGCTTTAGTGTCCCCGCGGCCCGGTCCTCGACCAGGCTTCCACCCCCAGAAAGCAGCCCGTGACAGCTGACTAATACCCAGGTACCTATTTTACTGCTAGGTAACAGGGGCATAGGGTGAAAGAAACTCTGCCCATTGTTTCTCGCCAGCACCTGGGATCGAACCCAGGACCACAGGATCACAAGTCCCACGTGCTGTCCGCTCGGCTCCCATTATAGGCAACATTCCTGTAGTGCTATACGTGGTTCCCTAACATTGGGTGATGTGGAGGGCCAGAATGTAGGAATGGGCCTTGGCTGAACACCAGCATCAGGCAACTCAATGCTTGGTGGCTAGTTCCTTGGCAACCACTGAGGAATAAGCTCTGATCATACCGGACATAGTAACATGTTGTGTCAGAACTCTTTGATGGCATTTTAAATATAATTTATTGTTGTTTTAGGAGGGGGCCATTGTAATTTTGTAAAGAGCATGTTCATACTCTTTACAAAAGTACATGAGTAAAGTTGCTGGCCCTTGGACACATAAGAACTTTATTCTCATTCTCTGTGGACTAGCAAACAGTTCTTTTGTTTATTGCCAAATTGATGATATGAAGAGAAAGAAATGGTGTTCTATAAAATGACACTAAAATAGCAAAAACACTACTGCTGTAATTAGATGAGAAGACATATCACTCATTTGTAAAAGAATTTCCTTAGAAAATTACAGACATTATTATTATACCTCACTTTATATCCCTACTATTAGGCAATGCTCCTGGAATCTAACTGCCATATAACTATTTGGGGTCTTGGTAGTACAGTCGGGTTCGTTACTCGACTCACAATCAGGAATCCTGAGTTCAAATCCCAATCGGAAAAGGAGTGAGTAATTATCAAAAGACGACACCAAGGTGGGAAGACTATGAAGTACCATCAAAGTTGCAGGATAATCAAATGGTGTTAAATATCACAAAAGATGCCAATACGAAAACAAAAGAACATGAGAAGGGTGATATCAAAGGTATCGAATTAACCAAGGATTCTATCGAGGGACAAGTGACCGCAAGTGACAGGTGGGAAGCAAGACACATACTGAAAGTCAGGACATTCAACAAGAATACACATGACTGTAAGAAGAACAATGCAGTTCGGACTATAAGGAGTAGTGCCCAAGATTTTCACATGTATGGCCACTATGTAACATCGCCAGAGCCGTTTCCCACCGCCGGTTACACTGGTAGGAGGAAGGCCAAGGGGACAGGCTTTAAGAGCACGCAGTTTGTTACCAATAACAGAAGACCAATGAACAAACCCACAAGGGCCGTGACGAGGATTCAAACCTGCATCCGAGAACATCCCAGACGCTGCCTTAATCTACTGAGCTACGACATGGTAAAAGTTGAAACTGAAGTTCTACTGAAGTTACTGGATCCTGCAGCCTCTCCGAGGCACAAACCAGGGTTTTACACAACTCGCCCCCATGCACTCGAGCTATGTCAATAGGCCATTCTCCCTCTTCGCCCTTACTTCATTACACACAGAAATCACAATTGTGTGATGCATCAAATGAACAAATCCACAAGGGCCGTGACAAGGACTCTATGCACTCGAGCTAATGACATAGCTCGAGTGCATGGGGGGGGGGGGGGGGAGTTGCGTAAAACCCTGGTTTATGCCTCGGAGAGGCTGCAGGATCCAGTAAGTTCAGTAGAACTTCGGTTTCAACTCCTTTTACCATGTCGTAGCTCAGTCGATTAAGGCAGCGTCTGGGATGCTCTCGGACGCAGGTTCAAATCCTCGTCACGGCCCTTGTGGATTTGTTCTTTTGATGCATCACGCAATTGTGATTTCTGTGTGCACAGAAGACCAATGATCCTGCCAACAGGCACGAATTGAGAAATGAATGACTGTGTAGAAATCAGCATAGGGAATGCCTTTTTGGGAAATAGGACATGTGCAGATAGCCTCCTTAGGGGCAGTGTGTACATGCTAATATAAGGAAATACCAATATGGCTGAGAACTCAACAAAACTCTATCTGCTGGGGATGAGAAACTGCCAATATTGGATTTCTACTACCACAGGATGTGCAAGGTAGTTGGGAATGGTTCGGCATGTTTCCTTTTACCTAATACGCTGTTCATCTAGCAGTAAATACTATACTTGCCGGCATATAAGATGCGATTTTTGAATTTTTAAATGTAAAAAAAATTTACCTGCATCTAATGCGGCCGTATTACAGATGTGAGACCGAGCACCATAGACTAGGGAGCCGGACGAGCATACTGGGTAAGTTCGCTAGGCACAAAAATCGTTGCTAATAATAAAATATTGAAAAAAGACAAATTATTACAGTACATTGTGTTACTAATAATAAAATATTGAAAACAAGCAGAGTTATCACAGTCTGTTATCACAAACTTACGAAAATTGCTTTCGATATAAGTTGGCAGTTATGAAAGACGCTCACATCATCTCACCACCTTACCCAGCATACATAACCCACACCTGATATATGGCATACATCATTTAACTACTGTGTTATCTTTAAGAAACATTTATTCATTATCTAAATAAAAAATGTGCCTAGAAATTTGTAAGGAATGTTAAACTTTCATCCACCTGTCAGCCATTTGCAATGAGTGAAGGCCAACAAAACCAGTGCGCAGTGATGGTGCGCCGCCCTGATGCGACAATGCAAAACATCACATCCAGAAATACAAGTTTCACATCCTGTATAACAATTCTCTTGCCCAAAACATAAACAACTACACAGCTGATCTTAGAGAAGAGGTAAGAGTTGGGTACAAAATCCACTTTATAGTATCATTCAATAAATGTATGATGAAACATACCAAAATAGTTTTTTCTCCACAAAATATCCTTGTAAAATAGGGGTGTCCTATGCAAGGGTGTGTCTTTTACGGTGGCAAATACGGTAGGTGCCCGAGAGTTAGGCAGATGTTGTGGGCTTGCATCCTGAGGGAGAGTCAGTAGATCGACCTTAGGGAGACCTTGATATAGCCCTTAACTTGTATACTGTATATACAAAGGCTGCCTGTTCCCCTGGCAAAATGAATTACTATATTAATGGTAACAAAAATGAAAATTAAAACCCAATGCAAAGGAAAATACTTTGAATCACTCTGGTTTATCAAATGAAACCATAGCTGCTTTATTTTCATCGAGATTAGTATTTAACAAAACACATGATTTGTAATTAATATGATGTGCTATACATAAGCCTTGGCCTCTGTTGCACCACTGAAGGTCAAGGGTCATCCTAATTAACTATTTCTATCCAATTTCTAACAAACATTCACCAGCCCAAAATTCAATTTTATGGGTCAATTAGAGCCGGATGTATTTGCAAGAGACGATCAAATAAATAATCAAATCAAATCAAATAAACGCCAAGAGGTATAAATTTTCACAAGGTCATATCTGAAGAAATGTTTGCCTCTGGGCAGTAATTTGCATAATTCACTTACCTTATTGAGAGCAACCAATTTACAGCAAATTTAAAGCTAAATCAAACACATCAAAGTGAGAAGAGTGTGTACACCTGATGTGGAATGTCGTGTATATCACATCTTAAAATCACCGAAAGTCGTTATCTTCAAGCAGAATACTGTACGTCAAATTACACTTCATTCACATGATTTTCAGTTCGAGGCCTTCTTCTCATCGAGAGGCTGTTGTGTCTCCTGAATGGCTTCTTCTCCCGCCAAAACTCCTTGCGTGCCGAACTCGAGCGGAGATCAAAGATATGCTTACATTTGTCTAAAATTTCCTGACCCATTTTTGTTTCGCACTCAAACACATAATCCTTAAACCGGTTCTCCCCTTGGCATGTTACCTGGATCTCCATTTTGCCTAGTTGAAAAAGAAGTCATAATTAGCATCTAATGAAAACTATGTGCATCTACTAAATATATCTAACTAAAGCAAACCTTTTCACAATATATCATTATTACAGTCAATGTCTCACAGGAAGCTGACTTCTCTCTTCAATACAGTTACTATGTATGAATAGAGAGGTGAACTCCATAAATTCCTGGGCTGCTTAGTAAAAACCTTAACTATTCATCCAAATGTCAATGAGATTCATCATCTCAGTGTCATCTTGCACAAAGTTTGACAAATACTAAGAATCTTTTAACCCTTTAACAGTGCTAATTATATACATATATACAATTTTGGTCTAACTGCCAAATATTTACATTTTAAAGTACCGCATAAGATTTAAAAGTTCCGCAGCTACACACGGGTTCACATCAGCTTCCTCAAGGCTCTAGTAAACATACACCATTTAAAAAAAAAAAAAAAAAAAAAAAAACGTGGGTACCATTCCCGAGTGCGAGAGCCTCAGTACTGAGTGAGCAACCAAGGCTGGAGCACGCAGCATGAGCTCACAGCACTGCTGTTCAGCTTGTGACCACAGCATTGCCTAACAATGTCAAATATATATATGTAACTGCTATTATTTAGAGAAGATAGTATTACAGAAGGGCTTGACTGTGATAAAGCCTCTGTACAATGTTCAGATATCAGTGAACATAACATTGTTCAAGATGTTCACAGCACTAGCCACAACACATTGCCATTGTTTGGTCCATCTAAGAATCTTGAAATGACTTCTCATGTTCCTTTTCAAAATAAACTTGTGGTAAATTATCTATTTACAGGATTTAGTGACCAGGATCCTGATAATAGCAGCATTGTGGTGAGAATTAGCAATGTGTTTACTAGTTGTGTTTTTGCGGGGGTTGAGCTTTGCTCTTTCGGCCCGCCTCTCAACTGTTTACTAACTACTTTTTTTTTTTTTTTTTTTGTGCATAGTATGGTGGGAGGAGGAATCTTGGTGAGGGAGGTGGTGTCGTCAGCTGTGTGAGTGTGGTGGCCACTGTTATTGTCCGACTCACTATACCAGCTTAGTGGTTGGATATGGTGAACACAAATGTAGATATTTATATATAATGTGTGTATATAGTGTAATAACAGCACAAACAGTATGCTGGGAGGAGCCATTTTGTTGAGAGAAGGTGTTGTCAGCTGGCTGGTGTTTGCCTCGTGTCATGCAGTGTATGATGGCCACTATGCTCTTTGGACACCATACCACCTTAGTTGTATAGTTATGGTGAACGAAACGTGTAGATATTTATATATAACGTGCATATATATATATAGTGATAACAGCACACACAGTATGGTGGGACGAGGCATGTTGGAGAGTGAGGTAACGTAGTCTGCTAGCTGGTGTGGTGGTGCCCACTATGCTGTTTCGATGCACTATACCAGCTTAGTGGTTCGTTATGGTGAACAAAACATGCAGATACTTACATATAACCTGTGTGTGTATATATAGAGTAATAACAGCAAAACTATTTGTTTATTGCTTTATGAACATAATAATTTAATCACTAATATGCACACCATACTCTTGAGTATAGCGATGGTTAACACATTTTATTACATAAATACTGGTATATCACACTACACACTACTGAATAATATTACTACAAAAAAAACAGAGAAAAAATAAATCAGAGACATTGAAATAATCATGTAATAATATCTTTGTGGCAACTCCAGCCTGAGGTTAGGGTGGAGGAGACTGACCCCGGACGTGTACTCTTTCAACGCCTGTATCTTGCCAGACTTCCTCGCCCTATTACGGCCAAAATATGTCACCTGTGATTTTTGTATTTTTTCCCGTGATCAGGAAACAATCTTGGGATTTTTTTTCTTGTGCACAGCGGTGTTGTTGCCTGTTATTAGCAGCGTGGCCCAGGAGTTAAATAGGTTAATACCATTACCCTGTTTCTCACTTTCATATGGCTAGGGAAGCACTAACACAGAAAAATAGGGAGCAATAGTGTGAAAGATGATCACATACACTATAAATAGCATTTGTTCCTTATATTATCCATATTACTGTATATATCATAGATAAACAAGCACTACCACACTCCAGCAAAGTATCCACATGAGCATCTACCTGCTTCACAAAAATAAGTGTATAGCACTCCCCTGTGATTTGTGACATACAAAACCAATAAATACTTTAGCTCCTTCCTCACGAACTTGCCACCACCCAGTTACGTCCCCTTACTATATAAAATCACCGCTTCTAAACGCGCTCGTTTACTAATTTTCTGCCAATCTTCCTATCCTTGTCTTTCTCCAGATTCACTTAAAAACACTTGATACCAGGCAATCATCAAATACTTATTCAATATACCATAAGCATCTTAGTCCACTCTTCTCTAGCTTGTGATTAACTTTTGCAATCCACATCTTTCAAAGCATTATAATTCTTGACTTAATATATTGCCCTCACACCACACACACACTTCCATACCACACCATTGTTTCCCATTTGTAAATAGGCTATACACCACAACTTCTTCACGTGGGATGCACAAAGGATGAAGAGCGAATCTTTTCCTATATTACTTCCAACCACATATTTAACAGCACTAGCTACATTTCTTCTCTAACTCACTCTACACTCAACTAAGCTATGTGATGCAATTAGCTCTGCATCCTCCATAATACAGTGTTGGGAGAACAGGCTGAGACCTACCTTTCATCCTCCACAATACAGTGTTGGGAGAACAGGCTGAGACCTACCTTTCATCCTCCACAATACAGTGTTGGGAGAACAGGCTGAGACCTACCTTTCATCCTCCACAATACAGTGTTGGGAGAACAGGCTGAGACCTACCTTTCATCCTCCACAATACAGTGTTGGGAGAACAGGCTGAGACCTACCTTTCATCCTCCACAATACAGTGTTGGGAGAACAGGCTGAGACCTACCTTTCATCCTCCACAATACAGTGTTGGGAGAACAGGCTGAGACCTACCTTTTATCCTCCACAATACAGTGTTGGGAGAACAGGCTGAGACCTACCTTTCATCCTCCACAATGCAGTGTTGGGAGAACAGGCTGAGACCTACCTTTCATCCTCCACAATACAGTGTTGGGAGAACAGGCTGAGACCTACCTTTCAAACTTCCACTCATTTGAGTGGAAGGCAAAGTAAATGTTTAGAAAACCTTGTGATAAAATTCATGGCAATTACTTCAGTTAAATACTGTAAAATAAAACGTGATCAAATGTAAAGTGCACTTGAACACTAAACGCCGGCAAACCTCCCACCTTTCCTCTCAGCCTTGCGACTGCAGTCAACCACCAATTCCATGTTATAAGTCACCGGGTGAGGAGAGCGAAGGGGCAAGAATGCTCCCCCTACCTTCTGTTGTAATGGGTGGATCTCAAGCTTTTCTCCAGAAATTCCTGAAATTTTCGTATATTGAGTTAAAGACATTAAATTATCAACCCCAATGGTTATTATTATGCTGTAGAAATTAAGTCACAATAATGTGATAGAAAACAAAACCCAATACACATGTGAAATGAAAGTGAAGACGTCTCAGTCCATACTGTATGCTATCTAGTTTAAACACTTACCTTAAAACTGCTTCCTCCAATTTTTGTTTAGATCCGACTTTAAAAATGTCCAGGGTAGACCAAAGCAATGTCGTCCCTTTCATTTCACATGTGGGTCAGATTACTTATTATTGTGTTTTTCAAAAACCTTTAAAACTAAGAAAAAACGTTTTTTATCTTGAAAGTTAGTAAAGAATTACACAATTAGTAATTTCATAAGGTAATTTCATAATTATTAATTTTCATTAGCATTCAGCTATACCAATAGACATTAAGTTGCGTCAAGACCCACTAAACGAACATACCGAGACAGGCTTCACATTTTCCAAACTTAAGCAGCCACATAACTTTGTATGAGCGATAAAGGGTTGCTTCCACTGTCGACATGTTATTCAAGTCCTGTGGAGTATCGATTCTTTTACCTGAAATATAATACAAAATATTGTTACACCTTCTTTTTCTACATCCTAGTTGGAAATGCTACAATGAAAAAAATCATCATAATACAGTAATGTAAAATAATCTATTCTAAAGTTATAGCTTAAATATTATTGATACCTTATAACCATTTACGTCAATATTTAAACAACTGTAATTTTGAAAAACAAATAGTGTAGACATAATTTTTTAATTATAGTTTATATTAGTCTGAGAAGATACCAAATGAATGAATGACCAAATGACAAAATAGCTCTAGTCTTTTATTTGATACTACCTATTTCATTATCACCAACTCCTCTGCTACTACTAAACTGGAACACTGAACAAGTCACAATTTTGAATATATTTGTTAAATTCTTAACAAAATCTTAAATTTTCCATGTAAATACTCATGCTGCTTTTAGGAACAACTAAATAACTAATGACCTAATCACAAAAGCTGAAGAACTATGACTTTAAACTCTGTTGAATTGGATTCCTTTATCTCCCGACAACATTAAAATATTTCCTACAACAGATCCTTTAACTATCAAATGGCAACTGGTTACATACTGTTGTCTCGTACGACAGCAAATTCCGTGCAATTTATATCGGCTAAGGTTTTCTCCAAATCCAATGCTATGCCTGGTTCATCTTCTTTTTCCAAATGGTAATCCAAGCCAGCATCTGAAAAGCAAGTCAATAATTTGAAGATAAAGAATAAAATAATGATTTTCCTTAATGTCAGTCAGTTCTATTTCAGCGACATGTGGCAGTTAATGTTATCACAACATCGTACTGTGCAACCTGGATTCAATTAACTATATTGTACCAACACCAATTCGTTGCAGTGAAGGATTCGTTTCAACAGAGATGTCTCCAAGAGACCCATATTTGTGAGTGAAAACCAGGTTTCCCAAAATGAAAATGAACCATTGAATTTGGTATCTGATATTTGCTACATATAACAGTAGCCACACTATAACTTAGTCAAATTTTTCCACTGCCAGATACCTCCCAAGTGCGGTATTTCATGTTGGATATTGGAGGCCAGTGTTCCTTATTCTATAGATGCTGCTTATTGACAATGTTCTCATATTCAGCACAACAATATTATTCTGGTTTAATTCTACCCAATCATACTTTTACATCAAATCATTGGATTTCTAAACCAAAGAGTTTCTGAAGAGAACTTGGAAAAGTGATCATGTGTTATTACTTAGGTGAAGTAGTTACGGGGTATTCGTGCCCATGCCACCTCTTGGGTGACAATCTTCATCAATCAATCAGGTGAAGTACAGTAAATGTGTTTTGACCTTGACCAACAGCATTCATTGCAGTATAGCATCTAGATGGAGAAAACTAAACAACCCATCATGTGAAACGTCCGTGGGTATATCCATAGAAAGAACCATAGATAGGAAATGAAGTAGACCATTATCATCTCCCCCCCCCATGACTAATTACATTAATTACATAATACAGACTACCACATGCTTTACGGACACCTCGGGACCAAGATCAAACAAATAACTTGTTGTGTACCAATAAGTCGTTTGTTACTGTAAAAATCTAGGGGGAAAAAATTAGTTTGTACTCCCCAGTATGAGAAGTTCTGATTCGCTTATTAAACTGAAGATTATTGTTGATGGTGCATAGTTATTAAGATGGTACAGATGGTGGATGCTAAAGGTGTTGGGTTGACTTAGGTGGAGATTGATGAGGTACCCTCAGATGTTGCAGTACTTGTACCACTCCCACACTGCACTATCAATACCTTTCACCTTAGCTTTACTCACTGTCTTTCTATTATATATTACTTTATCAAAATCACTTCTAGAAAAATAAAGATAGTAGATTTAACCTTAATAATGCCTGAAAGCATAGTCTTGCCCACTTGATATTCAGAGCACACAATACTTCCTGGGCTCACACACTCCATCTTTTTTATTAGTTCACTTTTCTTCTCAAATGTCAGCACTGACCACTTTCTCTTAGCTTTACACCTGTAGAAGCTTTCACTGACAAAATGCTTGCATTTGGAGCTAACATGGAGCATGAATGTTCCCAAATTACGCAGATACGTGCAACATAATCACAGGAATAAATGCTCCAAGGCCTCGTGACAAATCAAAACAATGGGCTTATGACGTCACATGGGTAGGACGCACCCAGTATGATCACTGGGTAAACTAGACCCATCTCCAAATCACTCGCCTCTCCTCTACCCCTTTCCTGACACCATTTCTCGGACAGGCATCAATTCCCGGTGTCGGTTCACTCTCGCCACTTTTCCACTCACCACTCACTCTCACTCATCACGCATTTTTATTCGGATCACCTGCTCGCCTCACCATTTCATCTCAAATTTATTTGGACAAACCAAAAAATGAATAACTGGGAGATACAGATAAATGGTGTCCAGGATGAATGCGGTAACCTGTACAACAGAACTTCATTAATTGCTGACTAATCAAAATACAGTATAAACAACTATAACTGTTAAATTCAGAAAATAAGATCAATTTACTCAAGGATTAATTATATGACATTTAAACTTACCTATTATTTTAACCATGTCTTTTCTCTTCGTTATTGTTCGATTGAGAATTTCTTTCAAAGTAATATCATAATTCTCTACCATTATTTTGCTAAATGCTCCCCCAGCTACAGTTCTGAAATAGATTACAAATTAGATAGACAAAAGACACGTGATGACAAATTTATAAAATGGGCTTCCAAAACACCACTATAAAAAATGTCAACACTTGTTTTGAAAACTGACAAAGTTACCAAATCCTCAAGCAACATTGTACATTTAAGGGACATTTACTATATCAACAAAATATATTACAAGTTTCCTCATCTACCACTAAAGGGGGGCTACATAATTCCAAGATAAAATGACACCTCCAAAATCCACACCTCCCATTAATGGATCATCAAATCAGACCAAATTTGGCCAAAGGATCTCCCCTTCAAAAACTCATCGTTTTCAGAAAACACACTGGATTCTGGGGGGACGGGGGGAGGCATGAAGGGGAAGCCTGTGAAATTCGAATTATAAGGCAAAGTACAGCAATTTCATAGTTCAATGGATGTTAACACTACCGCACTCTTCGAACGACCCTCGTGTCCGATTTTTTTCTCTCGAGTCTCGATTTGTATAAAATTCATTTATTATCCGATCGACTTCGGGATAGTTACAAAATGAGCGCCTTTAAAGTGCGCACAATTTGATGCCAAAATGAAAGATGTAACACGAAACTTGATGTCAGAACACTTGAATGATTATAAATACATTTTTGGGTCAAAATTTTTAAATATTTGTTAACAATTCTATTTATTGTGCTATTATTATGGGACTAGTTTTAAAATGCGCGTCTTTAGATTGCGAACAATTTGATACCTAAATGAAAGACGCAACACGAAAATTGATGTTATCAAACTGAACAAGTATACACATTTGGCTGCGATGTGCAAATTGGTGCTCGTTCACGGGTAACTTTAGGCTTTGCTAAAGAGAGTCACGCTTGGCTTTTGAACAATATATGCATATAAAACACCTGCAGGGAATTTGATTGTGAACACAATGATACCAAAACGAGCCACGTAGCACGAGAATTAAGGTGAGAAAACTGAAACAAGTGTATACATTTGACTGATTTTGTGCGCTCAAGAGTAACTTTTGCCGAATTTAGGCTTTGCTGTGGGGAGTCACGCTTGGCTTTTGAACCTTATATGCATATACACCTGTAGGGAATTCTATTGTGAAGACAATGATACCAAAACGAACAACATAGCACGATAATTAAGGTGAGAAAACTGAAACGAGTACACACATTTAGTGTCGCCGAGCGCTCGCCCGCACCGCCAGGAGTAAGTTCGTGCATACACGTGGAGTGCACGCCCGGTGCGCGAAAGTGTTAAGAGTTTAGGCGAGTGGAAGGGCCAGAAATGCTTCTCTGAAAATTGTTGTGAAACTATATCTCCTTAATTATTTATTAGAACAAGTTCCCAAAATAATTTGTAGAAAATCTTGAATTGAAGAGTTTTGGGCATGGGAAAGATAGACCCTGGATCATTCATCAGGCCCTAGGCTTAAAAAACGATCTTGAAGGGGCTGGATCCTGACAAACAGTGGTAACATCCGAGAAATACATAGACAGGTTCTCCTGGTAGTTATCCATCAATTAAGATAAAATTAAAATTTCACTCATAAATCACAGGAACAATTAGGATCTGGATGCTAACACCTTTAATATGGCTAGAGTTGTTATAAAGAACTTTGCAGATGGCCACAACATCACAAAAAACAGCTGATGCCTTGAGAAAACCATTGAATCTATTGTATTTAAAAAATATATTATGCTACATTTTTATTTAAATTTTGACATGAAAAAATTGAAAATTTGGTGATAACCAAAATTGGGCAAATTTCCAGAGATGCAGATTTCACACAAATCTGGTTTTAGTCCTGAACAATATATCCCAGATTTTTGGAGGTGCACCTAACTATATGATATTGAAGCATATACATACTAGATTCAAAGGTAATATATTTAAGCCTTCCTTAGATAGCAACCAAAGCATTGAAAACTGAAGCATTTATAAACTGAATCAAAAAGGCTTGAAGAGTATAATGAGATAAGAGCTACCTAGAGGGTTCTCAGCCATGGACATCCCATGACAATTAAAAAGATGGGTGTGGCTCCCATGAGAAAATAGGATATTATGAGCTAAGAAAGCAATAGATATAATGTACATACAACCTGAGACATGAAATCTTTAATACAAAATAAAATATATCACTTCACAAGACAATCATTCTAAAAAACCAGCGTTGAAAGAAATGAAACACCATTTTCTGGGTGAGACCCAGAGACTATGCAGAGCAATCCAGGCTGATATGTAACTACAGTATTAGCTGTATTAGCTTTCTGGCATCAGTCAATGTGCATGGAGTTCTTGCCTACCGGGGACCACGAGCCAGAACCTGGCCCCCTCTAGAGAGGCACGAGGAGCAATGGCCTATAGAAACCCCCCTGTGTGGTTGGGAGCACTCTATGTCTGCCATCGACCGGGTCTGGCACCTAGAAAGATAGGCGCTCTAAAACAAACCCCTATTCTGGTGAAACTATTGCTACCGAAAGCCGAACGAGTGGACAGAACTCCCCAACGTAAATTAGCAAACAAGCATGACGTTATGTTGCCATGCCACTGTCTGCGCAACCCCACTTCCCATTAGGGGGACGGGGGAGCCTCAGACCCTTGCACTGGCAATCCAACCGGCAGTTCTTCGACTGGATGTCAAAAACATGCGAAAACACTGCCGACTGGAAGGAGGGAGGGATGCCAGGGAGCCTCCGGGTCTCACCCAGAAAATGGTGTTTCTTTACATTCAACGCTGGTTTTCTGGAGGAAGCCCCATCGGCTCCCCAGAGCTAACTACCCAAAGACAAGGAAAAATACAGGGACTTACCCGAGAGGCAGTTCTGAAATGCAGTTCTCTTTACAGTGAGGCAGCAAGGTGCATATTCGTGACAACTGGCTGCAACCACTGACCCAATGCAACGCAGGCCCTACGAGGTCCAGGGACACTGACAAGGTAGCGAATGGCCAGGACCCTATTCAAGGTCCTGGTCAAGCGACCAACACCCCCAAGTCCGGGTCCCTATAAGCAAAGCACGGCAGCCTCGGAGCATCCGGGGAAGCAACCACCCTAGCACATTGCAGCAACCTAGCATGCAATGCCTGAGCTGCCTGCACCCAAATAATGTCATCAGTTGATTGGGTGAACTGAGTCACAAACAATCAACAATGCTCGCAGGTCTCTGGGTCGAAGGTGTCACCGACCCAACAGGCAGCATGACGAAGGCAAAAACAATGAGCGTTGCCCTGAGACAAGGGAACAGAGCAACAATTAAACTCGCACGAAGCGAGAGGGGACCCAGGGGTCGCATCCATTGGACTCTGTGCGCCCCGCAGGGTTTCCCAGGGCCATTAGACTGGTATCGCTAAGGGTAAGCCCAGGCAGGGTACTGTTAACCGGCACCCAAGTCTACCAAACAAACTTCTAAAAACTGAACCCCTGGGACGTGTCCACTCACAGGGGACAAGCAGGGGGGTACCACCGAACACCGGAGGTAAAAACCCTAATATAACAGGGGGGCAAGGGGCACAAAGGCAGACATCCCTACCAGGCAGAAACAAAAAGGAAAAGAAAAACCCCACAAGAGGACAACGTACCCAGGAGGAACAGAGCCAGTCGCTGTAATAGGTGAAAACTAGCTGCGCAGTACCCCGCGCCCCACCAGTGCAAAAACTACCACTTACCCCAAGGTAAACAAAGGAGGAAACCCCCAACACACTCGGGGCGGTCAATCACCGATCAGCAAAAGACCAACAGACCCCAAGGTGACTTGTGGAAGATAACTCCAAACCCCAAGGGCAGTACTTACAGGGCACTCAGGAAAGGGAACCCTAAGCACATGCAGCCCGAGTACTTGTGAATATTACTCCCAGCTCACACGTCCATGCCACAATCACATCGGCCAAAGAACTGCAGGGGTGAATCGCTGGCATGGTGGGTCTGTGGCTTTCCCTTCCCTACCGGGGAGAGGGGGGGGGGGAGGTGCGCAGACATGCAGCGCAGCTCGTGACACGTCATGCTAATTTGCTCGTTTTCATTTGGGGAGTTCTGTCCACTCATTTGTCTATTTTAGTCGTTTTAACCAGAATAGGTGTTTGAGGCACTTACTTTCTGGGAGCCTGGTCCAGTCGATAGCAGACAGACTGCTCCTTCCAAATCCCATGTGCATTTCTATAGGCCATTGCTCCGTGTGCCTCTCTGAGAGGAGCCAGGTTCTGGCTCGTGGTCCCCGGTAAGCCTAGAATTCCAGTCACACTACCTGATGCCAAAATCTAATGATATACCTATCAGCCTGGATAGCTCCAGGGAGCTGAAGGGCCTCCCCCCAGAAAACCCATTTTCTCCAAGCCACTAATACTAAACCACGATATGTAAATACTGTTTACGTGGATTTTCATGCCTCCTGGATGCTAGTTAACAATAGCAAAAGAAAAGAAACTTTTAAAAACTTTTATTTTGGCATCAAAATAGCCTGCTCAGTCTATGGGTTAATGTCTGTGGTTCTGGTAGGCACAGTATGCCACTGTCTGTGTCCTGTCTTGTATTTGACCGAGCTGGTGGTAGTCTTGACATTTTTAACCAGTCTTCTCCTCTTTCTCTTGCTAACAAAAATCTTCCTGACATGCAGAGTTAGGGCCATTTTCATAATGGCGTTCTTTTAGTTTTATTCGCCTGGTTCCTCCTAAATGAAAACCTGGTAATCTCTGACAAAGTACACCTAAAGATTACATTAAGCTACTGGTTAAGAAAGTAAATACACAAACATTAAGAGTAAATTAACTGAACTTCAACGTACAACGTGACTACGATGTCCTGTGATGGTTCACGGAAATCCTTCTTCTCGACTAGAGCTAGTACATTGAACCCAAATTTGTCAATTACATCCCGGTTACGTAAAGCCTGGAAGTCCCAGTCAACCTGGCCATCTTCTTCCGCAATGTGAAGGGCATATCGCTCAACTCCACCCCTGGAATATTGTCAACATATAAGAATAAGAATAAGAAAAATGAAAGTAAGCATTGTACTGCACCATATACACACATCTCTTTGGTCGAGAGATTTTACTCGCGTTTTCAACAATAGCAAAACTGGGATAAGCACAGCTTTTAGTTTCAACTTTATGTATTTTATTCTCTCATCAAGAGTACTTTATTTAATAAAACTCTTCAAAATCCTGTTCAGTACTTCAGTAAAGAGTGCCATGCTTAGCGATGATGGCACACAACCCTAAGGAAGAAACCTAACTACAAAATCTTAAGTTTTCCTCAAAAGATTATGTAGCAGTTCTTTAGTAGTCAATGCTTAAATGACTTCAAAATAATGAGTATTTCAATGAAAATTTTGTAGTAAAATTTTTGTAGCATGTTCCTTCATACCTTTATTGAGTCATATTCAAATGAGTTTGCAGAGGGGAAAACTTATGAATTTGTGTATGTACAATGAAAACAACATATACTTTGATGGTTTTGAGCCAAAAAATATTCATGCTATCCACCAGCAAATATGGCAGGTGTTCTCCAGTATCCGTCTTACCTTAGAGGTGGTTGTCTATTTTCTTTGGTATACAGCCAGCAAATGAGGCCGATGAGATCAATTACCCGTGCTTGATGGCAGTTAACAACAGACACAACCATTGGATAGCTTGATACAGGGTTATCCCCAAACAGCAGAAAAATATTGATACAACGGGCTTGAATATTTGTATGAGTCTGTGAAGAGAGAAAAATAAATCAAGAATTATTTTGGCTACTCAACTGGTAATTTGTTTATTGACATTTTATTTGACTTTATAATTTATTCAAGGATGCCCTTAATTCAACCTCTACCAGATCTTCACTCTCAATGTCCAATCCACTGTCATTGTAGTTCCAAAATTTGTAAGTGCTGCACTGGGCATCTCACTTTAGTTCAAGATCCAACCCGTTTTCAAGATTTCCAGTCCCCATGTCTATGCATATATATTTTTTTTAACTTGTATCATTACTGTAGAGTACTGCAGTTCATCTCTCATACATATTTATAGACAGATACTATGAATCTATCACTAATTTTCATTTTATGTATACAATACAACAGTGGTGTTTAACATTTAAGTGTACAGTATTGTTCACCTTACCAGTACAATCAAACCTATTTTGATTTTTCTAATTTGCCTCGTTAATTGTATAAATGATTGTGTATAGTCATACAGTATTATATTTTATATCCTAATAATGCTTCATAAAGATTATTTCAGATACTCAGTGATTTGTTATCAAACTAAACTACTGTACTGTATTACAAATTATGCCTAAAATAACTTTAATCATGTTAATTATCAAAAACTCGATAAAACACTAATGCAACTAACCGTGCCATCAAACTTTGCATATTCAATAAATGGATTATTAAGACCATCAGGATATTGCTGTATCAGACGGGAGAGGAGAGAAACTGGTGTCTGTCGAGTTGCAGACGAGTCGGGGCAACTGTTAGAAGTTATCACAGCTTTACGGGAAAACAGCTCGTTCAGCTCCGTTTCTGTTAATTAAATTGTACTTTTGAGATAGTAAATACAATGCACCAGAAATCAAGAAAAAATATTCAACTAGCAAACATTCTTACATTCAGCACACAGTACATGATGTTAGCACTGTACTACTTTAAGAATCAATTTTATCCAAGAAGTTATTCTTTTTGTATATCTGAATAGTTCAAATAGGAAGGTTATTCCAAAGAAAGCTATTTTAATCATCAGAAATATATATATATATATGATAAAGGCATAAAAAGATTTATACCAAACCAGAGATGCAGAGCTAGAAAACAGGATTGGTTCAGCAGATATTGCATGAGGGCCAGAGACCAAAAGACCCAAAAATCTAATAAACATAAAAAGCGGCCAAACCCTCAAACAAACCAATAAAACATAGGAACAAGAAACAACTACATGACAGTTAGAAAAGAGGTAGAAGAAATTGAGAAGGGGATAGTGAACAAATGTAAAACAGAACCAGGCCTATTCTATAAATTTATTAAAAGCAAATTTCAGGTAATGAATAAAATTAGATTGAAAATGGGAAACAGATTCACGGAGAATGAAAAGGAAATACAGTAAGTGAAACACTAAACAAACGGCTCCAAAGTGTGTTTGTGCAAAATTAAAATTTCAGAGTACCAGACACTGAGAATTCCAGACAACAACATAAGAACACACAGAGGCGTCTAGAGACGAAGTGGAAAAAATACTCAAGGAGCTAAGTAAGAACAAATCAGTTGGCCCAGATGGAGTTTCACCATATGTTCTGAGAGAATGTGCATCTGAGCTCAGCATTCCACTTCAACTGGTTTTTCAGTCATTTCTGTGTACAGTACAGTAGTCCTAGCAGATATATGGAAAAAGGCTAACATAGTTTCAATCTGCGAAACTAGCAGCAGGGAAGACCCACATAATTATAGACCCATGACATTGACAGTATGGTAGTCAAAATATTAGAAAATATAATTAAGATTCAATGGGTAGAATACTTGGGGAGAAATTATATAACAACACAGACAGACAGTATGGTATTCGATGACAAAGATCCTGTGTAACAAATCTTAGTTTCTATGACAGAGCCACAGATTTTACAGGAGAGAGATGGTTGACTGCACTTATCTGAACCTAAAAAATGCCTTTCGACAGACACACACACATATAAGAGGTTGTTCTAGAAACTGGAATATACTGCAAGAGTAACAGGGAGTTTTCAAACATGGATAAAAAAATTTCTGACAGAAAAATGCGGGCAGTAATCAGAGGCAATGTATCAGACTGGAGAAATGTCACTAGTGAAGTAGCACAGAGGTTCAGTTCTTGCACCGTTAATGTTCAGTGTCTACATAAACAATCTACCAGAAGGAATAAAGAATTATATGAACATGTTTGCTGATGCTGCTAAGATACTAGGGAAGATAAGAAACTTAGACAACTGTCATGCCCTTCGAGAAAACCTGGACAAAATAAGTATATGGAGCAATACTTGGCAAATAGAATTTAATGTGAATAAATGCAATGGTATGGGAATGTGGAATAGGAAAAATAGACCACACAAAACCTATAAATTATGTGAAAGAGTGTTAATGAATTCTGGTAAAGAAAGATATCTAGGAGTGGTTCTAGATAGAAAACTGTCACCTGAGGACCACATAAAGAACATTGAGCGAAGAGCCTATGCTATGCTTTCCATTTTCAGAACTACTTTTAAATATTGTACATGGATATGAAATATATACTAAAAAAAATTTTCTTGATCATTGTGAGACCAAGGTTGGAATATGCAGCGGTTGTATGGTGCCCATATCTTAAGAAGCACATCAACAAACTGGAAAAGGTGCAAAGACATGCAACTAAGTGGCTCCCAGAACTGAAGGACAAGAGCAACGAGGAGAGGCTAGAGGCATTAAATATGCCATAACTAAAAGATAGAAAAAAAAGAGGCGATGTGATCATTAGGTACAAAATAGTAACGGTAACTGACAACATTAATAAAGAAGCAACCTCGAGATCTGGAACTTCAACAACGAGGTCCTGGATGTAAGCTAACTAAACAAAGCTACTGAAAAATCATTAGAAAATTCACTTTCATAAACAGTGTGGAAGACAGTTGGAATAAGCAGGCAATGAGTCACAATAACGTGGCTGAAGAAATCAAGCAATCACAATCGACTTGAGAATGGTCCAGGACGGACCGAAACGTCGTCGTCCTTTCACCTTCTAGTGTGTGGTCTGGTCAACAGTTGGAATAAGTGAAAAGGTGGTAAAGGACAAAATTGTCATTGGGTTTCAATGCATTACAGTATATAACAAAGAGTGCTGGAAGATGGGACACCACAAGTGTAGCTATCATCCTGCAACTACACTTGGGCAAGTACCTTAAAAAAAAAAAAGGACAAATAGCAGAGAAGCGGAAACCACGGCCATAATGCTTGAGTAGACTTCTGGGAAGCACGGAAACACTCCCAGGATAAAAAACCTGGTATCCAGGATAAAAAATCTGTTATCGGGGATAAAAAATCTGGTATCCAGTATAAAAACCCTGGTATCGGGGATAAAAACCCTGGTATCAGGGATAAAAGCCCTGGTATCCAGGATAAACACTCTAGGAGCACCCCTTCCCCTTCACCTTACCAAGAATACACCCAAAAAACAAAATGTGCAATAATGTGCCCAATTGGGTTACATAACAAACATGCTAAGCTCAAGCAGTCACTTCGGTAACTGCTTGTGCTTAGTCACTTTGGGGTATGGTCACGATCCTATGAACTGTGACAAGAAACCATAGGATCTGGCATACATACCCAAGGGCCCAGAAGAACGTCAGAGGAAAGGGGCCCCACACCAAAATGTACTCAGACACGACAGGCAGGATACCACAACAAAGGAGCAAAGATGATCAGTACAATTGTGCATGATAGCTATGCAAGAAACACATCCAGCAAAGCTGCCAATGAAGTTCCTAGGAAAATAGGGGCACAAAGCCAACACTAAACACTGGAAGAGCAGATGGGAGTGAGGGCATTACAAAACAAATAGAGTGGAACTGTTTTAGCATTGTAGTGAGAGAGCATTTAAAGTACTGAAGTGATACCAAAGGCCAAACTACCCATAGTAGAAACAGGCACAACACCAGCAGGGCATCTTATCATACTCTTAAATTTCTCGGCCATGACTTGTACACAGTTAGGTATACTTACTTGAACCAACCTCCAACACTTCTCCATTCACCCTGATTTCAGTTTACACTTTTCTTCATAACTTTACCTGAACTTCCTTCGGTTCCATTCACCTTAAGCAGTCTTCACACACACATATAGACAACATTGTTAATCCTCCACAAAGTTTACACTGACAATTTTACATTTAACAACAATTATCATAATCATATACTATCATCTTTAAAGACCTGATATTATATACCATCAACTGGAGCTGGATTATGCCTCCACAGAACTCTCTTGACTTTAGAGGCATTCTTTTTTTCTTTACGCATAATCTCCAACCTTTGGGCAGTGTAAGACCTCTGCCGATGACCCACAAAGTCCATATCTGGAAAAATTATACATATTGTAAATATCAGAATTCACTCATTTGTATAAAGCACAAATACTGTATTACAATTTAACCCTTAAGCTGCTACAGTCTTAATGGGCTTAATAGACTGGGTAGTTCGGCCTTTGGCACAACTCCACTGTGCGCAAGAAATAAATAAAAAATAAATTGTCTTATAAAAGTGTTCATTTGTGTTCGCTGATCACTGGGGGTGGGGGGTGGGGGGGGGGAATTGTAGCCGACATATTTTGGCCTTAATAGGGTGTTGAAGTCTTGCAAAATTGAGGCGTTGACAGTAATTGTCGGAGGCAGTCATCTCCGCCCGAGCTATCAGGCAGGAGTTGCCACAAAAATTTTATTACCTAATTATTTCAATGTTTCTGATTTTTTCTTAGTCTTTTGCAGTAATATTATTCAATAGTGTGTAGTGTGATATATTTATATAATAAAATGTGTGAATCATCGCTATACTAAATGTATGGTATACATATCAGTGATTCAATTATGTTCATAAAACAAACAAATACAGTAGAACCTCAAGTGACGACCACCTCAAATGGCGACCATTTTGGGTAACAAACGCCCCGATTGCCGACAATTTGACTCGTTAGGCGACCACTCGTTTGAATAACGTCAACACCACAAGGTGGGGTCGGGGGCTGCTTCTCGCACATTCTCAGACGCCTCCTACGATGCAAATAAATTTTTTCTTTGTTTAAAGATGCCATTGATGCTGGGATGTTGCAAAGCAATGACTTTTTGTAGAAACACGAAATGAACTTTTTTAAGGAAAGAACAAATGTCAAAAAGGTTCGTTCGGTGTGCGGCAGGTAGGCTGCTCCATGTTTCTTTAAAAAAAAAAAAAAAAAAAAAAGTTAAAACAATTTGAAAAACGGACAAATGCCATATAGGTTCGTTCAGTGTTTGTCGTGTAGGCTGCTCCATTATTGAGAAAAAAATGAAAAATACAAAACAAATGGAACACATTTGAAACAAAGATTGCCATAATGGAACAGCCTACCCGACAAACACTGAATGAATCTTTATGACATATATCCGTTTTTCATATTGTTTCAACTTTTTTTTATTTTTATTTTTTTTTATTTAGAAACATGGAGCAGCCTACCTGCCGAACACCGAACAAACCTTTTTGACATTTGTTCTGTTTTTCAAAATTCTAAATTTTTTTCATTTTTTTTCATTTTTTTTTTTTTTTTTTTATAAGAAACATGGAGCAGCCTACCTGACAAACACTGAATGAACCTTTTACTATACAAAAAATGAAAAAAAAAATTGAACAAATTTGAAGAAAGAATAATGTCATAAAGGTTTGTTCAGTGTATGTAAGGTAGGCTGCTCCATTATTTAAAACTTTGAATATCATATTGATGTTTTTGCGGTGGTAGAACGGATTATTTGTACAGTATTTACATTATTTTCAATGGGAAACTTTGTTTTGAATGACGTAGGTTTCACATGACGACAGAACGGATTAAATTCGTTATTCGATGTACGACTGTAGTTTTGCTGTTATTACACTATATATACACACAGGTTATATATAAGTATCTGCATGTTTTGTTCACCATAACGAACCCCTCAGTTGGCATGGTGAGTCAAAACAACAACGAGTGGCCATCACACACCAACCAGCAAACACCGCCACCTTCTCTCCCTCACCAACACTCCTCCTCCCACCATACTGCTTTTGCTTTTATTCACTATCAACAGACATTATATATAAGTATCTACATGTTTTGTTCACCATAACTGTACAACTAAGCTGGTATGGTGACTTCAGACAATAAAAGAGGTCGCCACACAGTCAGCCGACACTCCCTCCTTCCCTTACCAAAATGGCTCCTCCCAACATACTCCTTTAGCTGTTATTACGCTATATATATATATATATACATGTTATATATATCTACATATGTATTCACCATAGTGAACCACTAACCTGGTATGGTGCATCCAGACAGTAACAGGTTGCCACAGTCAGCAGATGACGCTACCTGCCTCTCTCACCAAGATTACTCCTCCCACCATACTATGCACAGTGCTGATTATCACTACAAACCTGCTATTATCAGAATCCAGTTCATTTTTATGACAGGGGTCTTCTGTAATACTATCATTGTAATGATCTGGGGCTCAGACCATTGGTTCTCCCTTCTCCCCTCTTTTCCCTCCCCTTCTCCCCTCCTTTCCTTCTCCTCTCTCCCTCTCCCCTCCCCTTGGCCGTCATTCGTCTCCGCCTCTTCCCCCCCCCCCCTGTCGCCCATTTGTCAGGGTCAAGAGGTTGACCTGAGGGTAGGGTGGTCGTGGATACCTTGGCTTCTCCCACTCAATTCCCCACTCAGATATTTCCCTCTCCACCCCCTCTCATCCCTCTCTGTCCCTCTCAGCAGCGGCCTTCCCCATACCAGGCAGAGTCAAATGTCCCTACTCCTATCTTAGAGGAGACAGGCTTGAACATAAATTATCAGTTTTGTAAACATTGCTCGCAGGTGCCTGGGCTCCATAGACGCGCCTTGTCCCTCTTCTCTTTAGCTGGGGAGAGCTGACTCAATCTTCAGAAATTCATGTAGCTTTCCACGACAGATCAGTGAAGGTGATTGGCCTGAGATAAGGGCCAAGTCCTTATTGGCCCTAGAGAGCCAGACCTCAGGCCTACGTGTTAAATGGTTGGCCAGGGCCAAAATAATGGGTGGAGCCCTGGGGCTGTATTAGATGGTGGGAGGAGTAATCCTTCCCAGCAATAAGTTGGAAAAACTAAATTTCATCAGTGTGTCTTGGGAGTGTATTAGGAACAGGGCCGCAAGCCCGTATCCTCGGGGCTGAGGGCAGCCATCAACATCTTGGCCGTAGTGCGGGTATTTAAGGTATAGTGCACTTGAGTTTTGTGTCCTCGGTAAATACCCATTGTGCCTCTAGGGAAATAGAATAGGTGATGTGTTCAAATTGTCTTAATTTACATGTTTCATAAAATAAATGGTATAGCTTGTCCAGTGGTATTCACTTAACTCCCCTTTGATATATTTTGCTACTTTGTCATTTTTAGGTGTTGTATTGGAAGCCCCAGGTTCTCCTACTATTAATAGATACTAAAGTTGCCCTTGGATTCAAATAAGTAACGTAAATTACACAAACTAATTTTCCAAAATTTATTTCTGAAGTTCATATTACCCGGAGTCCCATGGTTACTGATTCCTTGCCTTCCTGGGGGATCGGTGATTGACACATTCAGGTATGGTTGGTCAGGAAGGTGGTGGCAGTGTTAATGTGTTTTGTTATTGTTTTAACTAATAACCCTTGTCCTTGGTGTATCTTCCTCATTTAATATTCCTCTTACATACGTGGCAGTCCAGTGAGGGGTCATACTGGACTGTAACAGTGTTAAGCTGGGGTATTGAGTGAAGAGACAGAGATGTGCAACAGAGAGCGTATATTACGATCACGAGAGATAACAAGATAACAGAATTAATACTGGGAAACATTGGGTTATTACAATAGCGGCCGCGGTTATTATTACAGAGGGAAGCGGTCGTTACAATGGTGGCAGCGGTGGGATAAAGGTACTCAATTAAAAGATTTTGGTGCCTTCCTTAGGACCAGGATAGGCGATCTCACTCAGGAGTTGGGTTACGATGCGCAGCAGGAGGAACGGTTTGCAAAGCAGCTATTTTGTAAGGCCTTGCCCGCTCATATCGGTCCATACCTCGCTACGGACACGGCTTCCCTGAGTTTTAGGGAACTCGTACAATACGCCGAAGACCATATAGATGAGGACTTGGATGCGGAGGAGGCGCGGACGTCGCCATATGTCAATGCGGTGAGCAGGAAGGTAGAGAGCGGACAAGGGGGCAATAGGTCAGGACCCCCCCAGACGAAAGCGGTGGGCAGTGGTCGCCCGCAACAACCCCCACGTAATGACTGGTGGGACTCGCGTACTTGTTTTAATTGTGGGAAAAGAGGCCACGTAAAAGCGAGATGCCGGAAGGGGAGAACAGAATCATGAGAGAATCCCGCCTCGGGTGGTGGCAGACCTACGTTTGAGATGACGGTTGAAGGTGTGAGATTGACAGTTTTTGTGGACACCGGAAGTCAAGCAACTCTCATTAAAAAGTCAGCCTTCAGCACACTTAAAGAGACACGCCTTAAGCGTTGTGGGAAGCATTTAACAGCAGTGAATGGTCAACATATCAATATCTTGGGCCAGGCCACTCTCAATTTTGAAGTAGGTAAGGAAGAAGCTTACCCACATAATTGCACGGTTGTCGAGAATCTTGCATTCCCTGGTCAAATTTTGTTGGGAATGGATTTTCTGGGACGAGTTAACTATTCTTTGTCGGCTCAAGAGGGAGCAAGGAAGTGCAGATTGAAGTTGGGCCAGGTAGTGTATCCCATTAAAATGGTAGATCATCCTCCAGTAATTGCTTCCATTAGTAAGAAACAGAAGTACAACATTCACTACCCTAAGTTGTTGTTTAAGTCTCTTCCAGACACAGATAAGAAATCATGTGGGTTACATGCCTTGGTGAAACAATGTTGCCCACCACATTCAGTTAAATTCATTAAAGTATCAGTGGGACGTCACATTGCACCAGGTACCACCCTTCAGGTGGCTGGGAGATGTGACAGGTTGTTGATCCCTCATCATTTGATCACAGTGCTTGATAAAGGTGCCCTTATTCCAGTTGTCAATCTCTCGCGCAAAACCTATCGTTTCAGGGCAGGTGATAGGGTGTCTCAGGCTACAATTGTAGAAAATACAGGAATTTTTCAGTATCAAAGCCAGGAGATGCCAGCCACCATAGCACAATGTAGTGCACTTAATGTTACAGAAAGTAGTACACAGGGAAAAAACAAGACCGAGACAGGGAAAAGTAGTAATATTCAGGAAGTTGATAAGTTAATCTCGGCTCTGGATTTGCAACATGTGCAACAGTCAGATAGGAAACTTTTGAGAGGGATTTTACGTAAATTCCCTAGAC